CATTTGCAAAGTTAGAAAACATTTTCATTCACGTTATTTATGACATTAGGTATAAACATACGTTCCTAATCTGATAATAATTGGTTAAATAAAACAGCTCATATTTATTATGGTTGATTAAATAATTTAGTATTAATCAGATTCAATTAAAAAAGATATACTAAAAAAAACATTTTTTTGTTAGAACTTTTAGTTTTCAGATTCTGTGTGAATACTCACGCACTTAAGCTCTTAATAATCTCCATTATGTTTGAAAACCGCCCAAAATGTCTTAGGTAAACTGATTAGAGCACTAAAATGTGATCAAAGCAAGCCACCCACCCATTCGCCCTTATTGACAACAGCCCCCAATGCGCTACACAATAGAGCATGCCGCCTTAATAAAGTTACGTCGCTAAACACGATTAGCCTTCATCAAGTCTATTAGGGCTTAGATTTGGGCCTTTTTGTCCCAGAAGACATTGTTGCCAATATTAATGAATTTCAACGCTCAATTTATAAGTTGTGTAATAAAAATATCAATTTGTTTCATTAATGGTATATACAGAGTCTTACAGCGGAAGTAAGCGTTTTCATGAGTTGGGTTGTTTCTTAAGGTAGTTCAAAAAGGTGAATCAATTTACTTTCAATTCAATTCTTCAATTTCCTGTATTTTATTCTCATGCTGCTTATAAAAAAACGTTAACCCATATTCCTATTTAGGTACTACTCATATTTTATAGAATGAATAATGAATATAGGATCTAGAAAAAACATTCGCTTTGAAAGTGAAATAGTATTAGTAACGTTAAGGATTAACGCAAAAACAGTGCAACGGTGTACAACTTTTTTAACCTTCTGGATGTATACAGTGTGTTGGTAAATAAATGTAAAAAAGTTCAGGAGGTGATGCTACATGAAAGAATAATGACAATTTGCTTAAACGTATGTTCGAAAATGATTCGGTTTCCGAGATACGTGGTGTTAAAGTTTTTCTTTACCATTGACAATGTGTTTATTGCTATAAAATCGGTCGTGATAGGGAAATTAAATTTGGTGAGTTTTAAGAGCCAGTTCTTGCGCATTTTTGGACATGAACAAGAATTTAATGTTAATCATTTAGTCGCATACTGGACAATATTTCAATTTTTTTAAACAAAAATATTGTACGCCACAAATTTTTCAAAGTCAAAACTATTTTTGAAGTCCGCTTTCAATTTGCAAGAAACACTCTTGTGCTTTTTCTCGTATGCGGTGGCGCTTTGATTCAAAAAATAAAAACTAATTATTTATTCATGAAGAATCACCTCCTGAAATTTGTCGCACTTATTTACTAACACCCTGTATAAAGAGAGTCGATAAATTATTTTTACAACAAAATTAAAAGAAACACACTGTATTTTCTATTGATTTTAAGGCAAAATTCAAAAACTCCTTCTATTGTTACGATTTCAATTAAGAACTTAAATCTTTTTTTTAATTTTATTTTATTAATGTTTAAAACGAAACTTCGACAGTAAATTGTCTTGCAATAGAGAATAATTCGTTAAATTACTAGCTTTCATTTCAAATGGAAACATGAAAAACCTTACATAATCAAAATATGCTTTACCGCCACAGAAAAATTTACAAATTTTATGGGCAAAGTGACTAAAAAACAAACGACTACAAATATGGTACCTACAGGGAACAATTACAGTCAACAATAGTAAAGAAAGCAATATGAAACATCGCACGTATAATCATTATGGACAGAACAAACACAAAGTCATCAAAGCAAGTCAAAGGTATTTTTATCCTGCACGTTTTTAAACTTTGAGATCAAAAGCAAAGTTTGCACTTGAAAACGATATTCGCTATTGTTTATTCGTTGTTATTCTTTTGTCGGTTTCAACAGAAAATGTTTTTTCTCACATATTACTTATTTTTTCGTTAATATTGGAAACCTGTAGATTAATAACAATACTATGATTGTCATAATAAATGTATTTAACTAATCCAGTAATAATATTGCCTTAAATTAAATGTCAGATTCCAAGTAAAAAGTTTATTCTAAAAGTTACCCTATATAAAGTTCATACTTAGTTTATACCAAAGTTAATACTAAAGTAAATTACTTCAATAAATAAGCTGCCCTAGATTATAAACAGTCCGTACGTGCAAATAATTCTATTACAAAAGGCGTACTGAAAATCTTAGACACAGCAAAGTGGTACATTATACGAGTTTAGAACTTTAATAATTTTTATTGCATTAAATCAATTTTTTTTCTGAAAACAGTTTGCTCAAGTAGTATATCTTCGTAGCCATTCAGTATTTAATAACGATCCAAAATAACGAATAAATCGAGATGAAGAAGTTTTGTTGAGAGTAATTTACAGTGTTATGTATATATTATCTAATCTATCTAATCTTATTAATTATTTCACTAGATTTTTGTTCTTGTGTTCTGTGTAATCCAAAGCCAGCTAACTCGAAAAATATTGATGAGCAAATCAAGACCAAGACTTACCAGGTCTTGCTCTTGCATACATAGTCTTGGTCTTGATCTTGCAAATCAACTGAATTTTTTTTACAAACTGCTTGTTGGGTATTTCGCCTCAAGAATGTTTGTCTTTAAAAAAGACGTTTTTTATTACAGATTGGTAAATAGTGCTCTTATTTCGCAATAAAAACGAATTATTTCTAAAAAACTAATCAATAATTATCACCTAGAGGGTATCCTGCGACACACTTAGGCTCAAGCTGTAAGAGAAGATTTGAAAAAAAAATTGAAAAATAATTTCAAAAATAAAAAAAAAACATTTAAGAAAAATTCACAGAACTGACAATTTGCACAGACAAATTATCAGAGCTAATTTTTACATACTGTCTTATCCTACTATTGTTACACAATTTATTAACATACTCCTTTTTAGGTTCATTTACATTCTTTTAATAACGATAGCATAAAATAGCTATCGAAACGTCAAGATAATTTTTCTTTACTTCTTAATTTCTTTACTAAGTCTTCGCCTTGGCCTTGGTCTTGCAAGTCTTGCTTTTATATAAGCTGTAAAATTAGACGGCATTAATTTAATATTAACAATAATAGTAATTAAACTAAAAGGTAATAATAATCAATACGAAACAATAAAAAGAATATAAGACTATTTACTATTTTAATAAGTTTAATTATTTTGCAATTCTAAATTGTTGACCCGTACTTTTTCATTGTCACTTAAGATATAGAAGATCTTCAGAGAAATTGATCAAATTTTCATGTAGTGTAATTTACACGTTCTCACGAAAGTACAACAACAATGAAATATCTACTCCTGCAGATATTTAAATATGTTGATTGGGTTTACAGAATTTTACTGATAGAAAACAAACTCAATTGATAATAATGCACATAATTCGTCGCAAGGATTAAATTATATTACTGGTTATACAGCAACTGTATCTAAGGACTGGCAAGGGATATTGGAAAAATAATGATTACAGTGTAGATTGTAAACTGTGCATCGAAATTTATTTTCTACTTGAGATTTTATTGTTTTAGAGAATGTGCATGATAAAGACATTAATTAACTAATACAATCTGAAATTAAAATTTTGCAAAAAACTGGATCAGAAACGAAAAGTAATTTTCTACATAGAACTACATAAAAATAATATGATACAACTGATTGCACGCTTTTCAAAATGTGGATGACCAAGAGCTTAAACAGATTAACCAACACACGCTGATTCATTGAATAATAGGTGACGATGATTTCTTATAATTAAAGATTCTTATGAAAAAAGAGTTTCCGCTGGAACTGAAGTTGGAGGAACGACATTAATACCTAAACTATTCGTGATTATTGTAATTGTATTTTGCAAGTTACGTATAGCAGCCAATTTTCATATAACATCCTGTATAGTGTAAGATATATTCACTTATATAGTACCTATTCCGTCTTAGATGGGGATTGAGCAAAACCAAATAAACCTTAGCAAATGATAAATATATATTAAAGAAAGATAAATTGATATTAAGGAAATTATAAATAAATACTAGAAAATTCAAATTCAGCTACAGTCAAAAGGACTACTCTATGAGATAAACTCGGCTTGTACTTGGATAAACAGAAGGGGCACAAACACTAATTATGTCCATCAATAAGCAATTGCACGTAGGCAATATTGACAACTAACTAACTTAATTTTGCAAACATTTATATTACCTACAACTAATTTAGGTAATCTGAATGAAAAGGAAAAACATCAATGAGAATCAATCACATTTTAAGTACGTATTGTTTTATTTTTGTGACACTTGTTCAGAACTTAATTTCTAATTTAAGGTTTTCGGTTAAGCTTTTAAAACGGTTCATTTTTCTTATTCATCATATTTAAGGGCTACGAGGTCAGATTGGTGTTGCATTTTTTGCAATGTTAATAAATCCGAATTTGTAACCACATTAGCATTACGTATTGTTAAACTTGAGATTAACCGATTAATATCGAAATTAGCCAAATCGAAGTTTAACCGCAACATATTCATCGCTATCAGAGCACGAGAAATTGCACCCCGTCGGTCAGAAATAACATAATTTTGCAACCGACATTTGCTTTGATTCGTCGGTTGGTCATTGGAAAGTTTTTTCTTTAACTAACGATTAGAAATTGTTGGCAACTTAAAGTGCTACAGTCTGCTTGCTCTACACCTCGACACACCCCAGAACGACAAAATCCCGAAGCAATTGTCCCCTGAACTTTAAAAGCTCGAAACTTGCTTCCCCGATTTAAGGGTAGCAAACTGGAAAATGGGGCGGTAACTCGCGCGATCATGTTCGGGTTTGGGCAAATATTGGCCAGTTAGCGTTTGGCGTTTGGTTTAACCGATGTAGCAACATCTAACAAGTGAATTCAGTTAACAAAATATCGTGCAATATAATAATAATAATAAATAATGGTAAACACTAATTTTAGTGTTTGCTACCAGAGTGAGTAGTGAACTTTGTGGTTGATTGTGGCGCAAAAAAAATTGAAAAATGAACCGCAAAGAATACGGTCAGGAGACTACGAATCTAGTCCAAAGCAGAACGAGTTTTTTAATTGAAGACATCTTGTATCGGCAGAAACAAGCCGAACATCCAGAGAGTGAAAATGCGTATTCAAACTACGCTCCAAAAGCGCGACCTCTGGAACATTCTTCACGAGCATTTCATGCACCATCGAAAATCCATGAACTGAACAGGAAAAGTGAAGAACCCGGTTTATATTCGAATAACTCTAATAATAAAGAGTTTGTGGCTCCGCATGGATATTTCCAGACGAATTTGGTTCAAGGAGGAACAGTGCCAGGTTTTCAAGTGCCTGAAAGTGGTTACATTCAAGTCATGGGCGCTTTAGGTGCTTACTTAGGAACACCGTATAAGAATATGGGAGATCCATATTTTTTAACGCAAGGTATGATAATACTCGGATATTTTAACTGCTGTTTCCGATTCCGAACGATTATTTCATATAATAATATATAAGTTTTATAACTGCGAATGGGAATCGCCGCCTTACGGCTTGGCAATTTTCATTAACTTTTACATGTTTCCCGAAGTTTTACTTTAGTCTGGATGTATAAGCAAGTGGAACAATCCCGGAAGGAACATCTAGCATAACTATTACAATTTTTGCGTATTTATTAAATTTTTGTCAGAATGACAATAACATGGACGTGTAGGTATATAAAAGAATACTGATTGATGATGGCAAGTCTATTAAATTAGTTTAAGAACATTAGAAAATTTAATAAAACTAATTTGACAAAATGTTATACTAGTTATAAAACCGCTCAAATTATTTTGTCCACATTTGAAATCTGCTACTTTAAGAAACTTTCATTTTCTACTTTTCGCAGACGGGGCTGTCGAGTATTTTTAATAAGTGCCATCTTTTGATATTATTGCAATACCTTCTTTTACAGTTTGAAATTTAGAAACTAAATTAAGTCTAAAAATTATTTAAGTGCGAATCCTTAAACTTGCTGGTGTAGTATTTGTATTTGTATTTGTATCGTTTCAATGTTGGGCACCAATTAATTTAAATTCCGAACCTCAAACTCGAATCGAAAAACTATAGAAATACCTTTAAATATATACTTTTTACAGGAAAAGGAATGACTTAGTGACAAAAATTATATTTTAAAGGACTTACTTCTGACATACTTATTATTCTTCCATATTACTCTTTAATTTCCTTACAAATATGCCATGGTTATATGTGAGATCAAATTTTAACTATTTTTTCGAACAGCTTCAAATTCCTCTGATGCCACTTTTATTTGGATATTGGTTATTGTGTTTGTTCATTTTATATCTGTTATATAAGTAAAATATTTTTACTCTATCATATTGTCAGGTAGTTCAATTGAAATATTGCATCATAATATATAATATATTGTTTCCTCGTTTGCCCCTACTTGTAAGTTTTTAAATGTTTATTTCATTATGTATTATGTGTATAAAGCGAATTGCAGGGGCCGAAATCCAGCTCTCATAGATTCATTTATGCACCCAATCAAACAAATTTTAAAATGATTGACCTGTTTCTTACTGAATGATTATAAGAACAAATTAATTTATAATTTAGTGGCGGTAAATAAAGCTGGTCAAGTTTTTCGATTTAAAATTCAGGATTTTATAGAGTAAGCAATAACTAATAATTGCACACAAGTTCGTTTCGTTTATGTTGAAGGATTAATTTAATTTTGTTTGTTGCAGGTATACCATTTCATCACACTCTCTTTGGTAGTTCTGCAAGTGAAATATCTCTAAATGCCCTGAAGCATTGTAGGAGAAGAAAAGCCAGAACAGTGTTTAGTGATCCACAACTGACAGGTAAGCTCAAAAAATATATTAATTATTATCTGTTTATTTGTTGTTTATTTGGCAATATTTTACTTTTCCCAAAAAAGACTATTGAAAGCCAAGTTTTCAACTTTAATAGTAATGCAGGTTCAAACTGAATGCTTTAATTACTTTTTGAAAGTCTTATGGTATTTACAGAGTAATAGATTTGCACATAAAAAAGTAAACTTCAAGCGCATTTTTTGGTATTTGTTGCTGAAGATCACTGAGGTCATTTTTTTTTTATTTTTCAGGGTTTAATTATATATAAATAGCGAAAGTAACAATAGTTTTTAATTATGTTTTAGAAATATTGTGGAAAGCGCTCAATAAATGACAATAAAAGCGCATAAAGAAACATATAAAGGACTACAGAAAGGAATTTAAAATGCAAAAACTTGTCCTGTATATGAATGAATTCGTTTCAAACTATTATTCTGCATTTTAATCAATAAGGTCATCAATTTATATGATATTTTCCATATTTTAATCGCATTTTTACTTCTATTGCCTATGAAACTTCATATAGAGATCAACTGCTATGGTTTTCTGAAAAATCTAAAACCAAAACTTATATTAAATATTCATTTAGTTTTTATTGTATTTTTACTTTGTGTCTGTGTGCCTTTCACTCAAAAATATAAGTAAATAATTAGTGTGGTTTGTAATGGATCGAAACGTCTACGAAAGGTTTTAATTATGAATAACATGTTTTTAATAAGCGTTTTTTTCAAACGGCTATTAGGTAATAAAAGTGCTTGATAAAGTTAGTCACGATTCTGTAATTGAACGTTTTCGGGATTTATATGTTTAATTTGCTCGGCATTTTGTGAATTAGTCGTTCGAACACACTGAAAGTAGGTAATTTTCAAATCAAATAAATATATCTTTTATTGCGACAGACATTTTAAAATTATTTTATGGACATAATGAAAGAAATAATAACATTGTTGAACAAATCTATACGAAACATAACACATACAAAAGTGATTGTCACCACAATATAAATTAATAAAATGAATGAATGATTTAGCTAAATCCTACTTAGAAGTTGCAAATCTGTTTTTCTTATCGCAAACACTCCGTAATGGTACCTAATTGAATAAATGTAATATAGTAATAAATAATAACAATACAATAACAAATTTCTAGTTTATATGCACTACGCATTCGAAATTAAAATGACTACTTTTACTACTTTCGGCTCATTAAGTTTTTTTCATAAGGAAACAGGCCAAGCCATCCTCGACGATTGATGAAAATCGGACAATTAGCCAATATTCAATTAATCACTAAAACTCAACTAAGAAGGAGTTAAAAAAAATACCGAAAGTAAACAACCAAAAACTAACAAAATGCGCATGGAAAAAAATTCCCCTAAAAGCACGAAAATAAGTAGTAAATTCCAATGAGTGAAAGGTGGTTTCCATCGATTTTCCTAAAAAGGTCTTTCAGGAGTATCTCCAAGTCTTTGTAATAAGAAATTACATCGATCAATTTTTTTTTCTATTGTTTAGGATTAGAAAAACGTTTTTCGGCCCAACGCTACCTCTCAACGCCGGAACGAGTAGAATTAGCAAACGCCTTAAGCCTGAGTGAGACACAAGTGAAAACGTGGTTTCAAAATCGACGAATGAAGCACAAAAAACAAATGAGAAAAATGCAAGAAGAGAAAAACAGTGGAGTTGGGAAGAAATTGGACATTGGAGATAAAAGCCGAACGAGTTCCGGCGGTAAGTGAAAAGCTCCTTTTAACGCTTTTTTTAAGGGTCATATCAATTAATTTGAAACTTATGCGCTAAACTTTCTCAAACAATTCATATGGATTTTTAGGTTGCGCACCAACCCTGATATTCAATTATCACGTTAAACCATAAAACACAAATTTAGTTATAAGTTCCCACAGACAATTAGAAACCAAACACTCTCTTAATTGGCAAATCAACGTCATCCCGACGAGTTGCCGAAGGTCGTCTATTCTCTATAATACTATTTTAATGGACTCCCGAGGGCCTTGTTAGATACGAGCACCGGGGCATCCTTCGAGGATTTTATTCCACATTCTTAATCCGATTTGCCTGTTCAATTCTGTCATTGATGGTAGCCCGTATAGGATTATAGAAGCCTAAAAATCCTTCTTGATGACAATAATTTGAATGTTTTGTGTCACATTATGATAGGTAATATTAAGAATTTTAAATTTACTAATCGTTTAATTATGTATATAAACGGTTGCTCATTAGCTCTTCTACCGTAAAAATAATTGCAACACTCTGAATTCCTAAATGTATCGAAGAAGTGTTTTTGAAAACTTTTGAATAACGCACTTTTCTTCTACAGTATATTGAAATATGTGACAAATGATGATAAAACCTAAAACTGAATTAAAATTGAACAATTTTGTTAAAACTTACATCTCAAGTAATCGATAAAAAGGAGTGTGTTTTATATTAAAAAAAAATGCACGTTTGATTTCCGATTGAAAATTGAAACAACCTGTATTATTAAATTTGGATCAAAATAATTAACTTGTAGATAACATTTTCTGTTCGAACGTACATCGAGTCGAAAAACTATTCTAAAAATAGCAAAAATATTTCGTTTCATAAAGGTAAGTCGAAGTCGATAAAAATTGAGGTGTTTAATTTAAAAAAAAAATTCTGCCGCTGGAAATTGAGACATAAAGTAAACACCAATGCCAGAATTGAAATATTAAGTAATAAACCGCAAAATTAATTAAATTAAAACCAAGAAACTATTAAATTTGACTTTCAATAGTAAAATGACAATCGTACTTTAAAACTATTTATATTCAAAATCACATAAATATATCGCTTATTTTCTAATGTCAGCGCAAATATTAGAAGTATCGTTATTCAGCAGACCCTTATATTTTTTGAAATTAATTCTCAAGATTTAAGCGTCAAACTATGACTTGATTATAACAAATCGCCACGTTTTACATAAGTTTAACTTAGTAAAATAACTTTTAACACTGGATTAATAAGACTAGTACATTATTTTTATATTTGGGGAAATGAAAATGTAAGGAAACACTACCCCAATAAATACATGGTGTCCGTAAAAAATATGCCAACCAATCAACTCTAGATTTTTAATAATTTACATTTAACAACAACGATTGTTGCTAAAAAAAGAATTAGTAACAGAAAACTTCTAATTTCTATTTTTAATTAAGCGTCACTTTTTTCGGTAACAACGTTTTAGCAGTTGTATGTCACCTATTTTCACATCTTTATAATTTTTTTTTTTTTAAGTTTTTATATTGAATGTACAGCGTTAGGATTTTAAAAAGAAAAACCTAAAACAAAGGTCGCCCATTGAGAAAAGGATCGGCTCAATTCGTTCTTACTTCTTAACTTATTGGTATATGATGTATGAATTTTCAAAAATATCTATTGAACATTTTTTCAAAAAAGAAATAAAAAACATCATTTACGAAACAATTTACTACGTTCAATTTACATCTCTTAAAAATGTAATACAATTTACGGGTTTAGACAGAAAATAACCATAACAAAAACGGCTCTTGATTTTGTGCTCAAATTTTACGGAAAAATACTTCTATATTTTTAATGTCTGATAAAAGTAAAACATTTCGCAAACCAACAACGATTTTTTGTCGAATTAAAAGGCATGCTTTATTTTCAATAACATTTATTGACCGCATTTTACTTTTGTCTTTTCTAATCGCCGGATACATCGAGTGCGAATTGTTCTAAAAGAGTGGACACCCCGATGTACCAATCTTACAACATTAAATTTTTAGGCTGGTGATTTATGGAATATTTTCTTTGTATGCGTCTTATAATTTTCGAATGAGAACTTTCCTTAATGAAACCTGCAGCATGTTCTTAACAAACCTCATTGAGGCAGGTTCGTTAAATGATAATAATCGTTTAGAGCAGATTTATAAACACCAATGTTCCAGTTAAAAAGCGGATTTTGAAAGCTGGATTTAATATATTTTAGACAACAAAGTTACATTTTTAATTTCAGATGGGAAGGTGCTTTTCATTGACAAACCTTCTTCCTACTAATCGATCTAAAATGTCTACGTAATTTCCTTGAGTGAATTAGTCAAACAACCCTGTCCGCCATCTTAGCAGTAAGCAATTAAGTTCCAAAGATGCCTTAATTGATGTTTAAGATGGACCCAAGCGACGCCAAGAAATTTTCCGAGTTCAGAGACTTTGCTAATTTCCCTTTGATTGCCCCCCTCGATCTTGGGGTGAATTGAGGCCCTCACTTTACGAATCAGAAGTACACGCTAATAAACAAAATTATTCAGAGTGAAATGCAATTTAATCGGGAATTTATAACAACTTTTTGAATAAAAAAGTTAACTCTCTTAATGGTAATAATACTAATGATCTAATGGTGTACAAAAAGTGTCACATTAAACGCACAATATCTGAATTGTACAAATTATAATTCATAATTAAATAAATTAAACACTTAGTTATTATTTAGAGTATTATTTATAATGCGCCTCCACAATATAGAACTTATCTACAACTTAAGTATGGGCCTCATATCTGTACTATTTTTCGATATCAATCCAAATACTTCAACAACTTCAACACTCTGAAAACAGTTTAACATTTTTACATAAATGTAAAACGAATAACATTATTTCAAAAGGCTTACGACTTAAATCTCCATATGACATCAATACACAAGTAACAAAAATCTTAAACAGAGCAAGTAAAGCTTTAGTTAGAGAAAGAATTCAATATCACAGATTAAATAAAATCAAACTCAAAAACGAAATACATGACATAAAACAAGACTTACGATACAAAATTTCTTTTGACGACTTTAATCATATATGTAATTCCGTTAATAAAATTTATGAAAGAAAATTTATTATTCAAAAACAAACTCATAACCATAAACTAGAAAAATTACTCAACGAAAAAATAAAAAAAGACATTTTTAGTATAAAAAATAAACAATTTCTGGACAAAACAATTATAAA